AAAAAAAAAAAAAAAAAAAAAAAAAAAATGCTTGACTGCTTTTGTGTGTTCAGAAGCTACAGCTTTTCTCAAAAAGTACGTTTTTAATGTTACAATTGGTGACGTCTATCCCACCACCCTCACAGCCAAGCCCAAGGTGAAGCGACAGAGGGTGAATTCTCTGCAGAACAGAGCCACTGGCACACAGTGGAAAATCCTATGCCAATTTCGGTACTAATATCCACGCCAATGGAGAGCAGGCTGTTCCCCCTCTCTGTGAGGCACTGTTATGCCAGGATGCGCCCCCTAGGCTGAGCCTTCATTAGATCCAAAACTTCCTGTCATCATTGTCACTGGTAATTAAGCCTCCTGGATTGTTCTATCACACAAAGATGACACCATAGTACAGAAATCAAACATAATCTTTAACTCATTTCTGAATGTGCCCAAGGATGAGAACCAACAGCGGCATAAATGTGTGCACGATGCTCGCCCCCTCATGAGTCCTGTTTTTGGCAGCTCTGGCTGGTAGAAACTCGGAGATTTAAGCATCTTGATATGCAAGCATGGGTCTGTGTTATTGTTACATCGCGAAGTTAAACCCGAAATCTCACTCACAACACCCAGAAGTAACTTGCTGACATTCGCATTTTGTAACCTGTGGCGATTCCAGGGGCACTTTTTCCTATGAGTCTGGGTCTGTTTTCCACTCTTCAAAGTGAAGACTCGGCAGAATTACTCGAGGCTCCGCCTAGTGGTAAATGCCTGTGCCCCACCTGGGTCAGCATCCCTGAGGCTGTGACCCAAGTTCTGGAAGTGCTGAATCAGTCCCTGGGGATGCCTGGGTGGACCATTGGACACTAAGTCCCTCGAGGGCAAAGCCAGCCATCTCAACTCTGTATTTCCATCACCCAACAAGATGGCTGGCCATGGATCAGCACTCACCAGGGTCGGTGAAGCAGACTCACAAGGTCTTAGGGACATGTTAAACTGGAATCTGGCCACTCCAGCTGCTTGCTACAGAGCTCTCCATTTATCATCACTCATGGCTCTCCTGGGCTACCTGGCTCCACTGCCAGCTCCCAAGACCAGAAAAGATTGTTCTAAGCTACCAGGAACAGCACCTCCTGGTCCCTAGTATTGCATTCTTTCCTCCCCTTCCTGGGCTGGCTACATCACAAGTGCTAGAGGAGGTGGCCATTTCTTCTCAACATTAAATAGCTCTCTTTGGAGCTCTTAAACCAGTGTCTTCTGTTGTTACATCCAGAATCACCTAGGAGCTTCCTTAGAAATGCATCTTCCTGGGTGATTTTGCACTTAGCAATAAGAACCCGTAGGAAGGATTAGGGCGCCGAGTTGCCCAAACAACACCCCACCTCCAGATGACTTTGACACTGAGGACCCCTAACTGACTCATTTGTAACTTTTCTATTTAACTCTTTCTTCTCTTGGGCTCTGCCCTGTCCCCCTTCCCCAGGACAGGGGCTTGAATATCCCCAACTCTTTTTCACTCGGGGTTTTGCTCAGCTGCTAAGTTGTCCTTCTCCCTCAGCCTCCCAGAATGCTGGCCAGGCTCTCACATTTCTTGCGCGTTATTTTTTCCAGGAGCATTATCTTCCCATCGGTCCACAGCCTGCAGAGCCCCTTGCACAGCTTCCTGCTGCCCTTCATACCCCACAGCACTCTTGATTGGAGCGCTTATCTGACTCTACAGCTAATTGTGTGAGCTAATCTTTTACCCAGGGGGCTGGTAGATGTTTTCTTTACCTTTGCACCTCTCAGGCCTGGCCCTCCGGTGCTGCTCCAGTGAGAGTTCCAGGTGCAGGATGCTTCTATGAGACACTCTGGCTGGTGCTGTGGGCTCTGCCATCCAGCCTGACCTTTTCAGAGCCTCGTTCCTCCACCCTATCTTCCAAGAGTTTTCTTACTACTGCCAAAGCTGTGTGCTAAGATACAGAAGTGAGCAATCTCTCCTGAAAAAATGCTGCTAGATAAACTCGAAGCTCTGCTGCCTTGCAGGTAAACACACACACACACACACACACACACACACGCGCGCGCGCGCGCGCGCGCCACATAGTGATGCCATGAAAGCTAAGTAATTTTGCAGCAGTATTTCTAAGCTTGAAAGAAGACACTGCAGACAGCCTTGACTGTCCCAAGGCTTCTCGGGTGCTGCCTTTTTGCGTTAAGGCCATCACAGCCCCTTGTACACTTGACTTTCCAATGCTGTGAATGGGGGGAGGTAAAGTTTACTACATCTTTTCCTGGCTCCTTGAGCCAGACATGTGGGAGACCCCCACCAGCACTGTCTTCAGCGTCTGACACTGCCAGCCCATGGTCCAACCTGCTGCTGCCATGGTCTCCATACAGCCTTGATTTCTGACTCCTCCCCTTTTTGGGTGAAGGTCAGCTTCTACCCCGCTGTGGCTTCTGAGACCTCTTCAGCTACTTCGGAGCTCTACTCTGCAAAATGCCCTTCGAGTTCCAGCCATGCTGAATGCTGAGCAGCCTGCAGCTGTGACCAAGAATCCCCACTCTAGCTTGGACTCTGCTGTCCCCTCTGCCTACAATGCCATATGGCCCATCCTGGCCTCTTGAAATCCTGCCAACCCCTCATATTCCACACTGAGTGTCAGGTGCAGTTCACTAGATGGTTCAACTCCTGGCTCCACCGTTTGCTTGCTGCGAGACTAGAGGAAAAGCACTAGGTTCATCTTCAAAACGAGGGTTGAGAGGAGGGCTAAAGAAAACCAAATCCCAGGACAACTATTCTCATCCTCCAATTCAATCCTCTGAACCACTCTCCCCTCCCTCCTCATCTGAACTAGGAGCACAGTGACTTGTGGGAGATGAGAGACATGTTTACTATGACCCGGGTAGACCAGCAGGCCCAAGAGGGCAAAGGGCTGTGTCTCAGTCACAGCCCTTTGTGTAGCACATGGTAGCCACACAATGACACTGGGTGAGGGTGACCCTATTGCCTTCTCTTTCACAATCAGGTCCACATAATTCACAGGCCACTTGTCTCTGCCTGGGAATACTGAAATTCAGGGTCTCTGAAGTCAGAATGATCTAGACTTCAGCCAGAGCTGTGTGACCTTACCCATATATTTTATTTCCTAATTTACAATAAAGGATGGCCATACCTCTACAGAAACGATCCTATATCCTGGGGTTGGGTGGATTGGGTGCACTCCTGTGAGTGAAACGGTTGGTGTGGACTCTTCCAGGCTCTGTAGGAACTGCCCAGGTCAACTTCTGTGGGTTCAAAAGTCTGGGGGACTGGCCCAACTGTCACACAGCCCAAGGGCCACACAATGAGACTCTCATGGGTCCTCAGCACTTTTGCTTTTGTGGATCTCTTCTTCCACAAGATAATAATAATAGCCCATAGTCCCAGCACCCTGGGAGGCTGAGGCAGGAGAATTGCAAGTTTGAGCCCAGCTTGGGCAAATTAGCAAGACTTCATCTTAAAGAAAAAAGAGAGACAACATAATGTAGCTCAAGGGTTCAATCACTAGTACCACAAAAAGTAGTAACAATAATACTAATAATTATAAATGCATTATATTTTATGACTGCATTGGTATGAAGATGATATAATCAAGCTGGATTTATTTTCTTCTTCCGATTTTAAAAGAAATTACAGTTAAAACATCGCAGCCTAGACACTGTATCTCTTATTCCAAATGGAAACGTTCGCCCTGCGCCCACTCAAGTCCCCCGCACACCAGGGCACTCTCTTCTCTCTTCTCCAGGGCACTCTGGGGCCTTTGCCAAAGTCCCTCTTCCTGGAAGCCTCTGTTCTGGCCTGTCCAGTCCGCCTCCCTCTCACCCCTCAGAACCGGGGCGGACAGGCCTCAGGCTCTCCTCACAGCCTGACGGCGGGATCTGCCCCTGATCTGACGGGGCATGCGTGGCCAGCGCCTGTGCTGCGGACCCCCGCGAGTCCTGCCACGTCGCCGTCCATCCGTTCTGCTCTCCGACGACTAAAAGCCTCCTCCCCCGCCTGGTGTGGCCATCCGATGCCCCACCCGCTCCCCGGTGTCCCCAGCTGACTGTGGGGTGGGCGGGGGGCTGGGCGGACCAAAATTCAGACGCTGAGCCACCTTCGCAGCAAGGCATGCGGGTGCTGGAAGCCTCTCATCTCACCAGCTCACTATGTTCCCGAAGTATTTTTTAGGATTCTTTCAGAATTTCTGCCATGCCTCTGACAACACAAGTACAAAGAGCTGGGCAGAAACTGCAGGCGGAAGCTCCACAGTCCACCTAACCAGCCCGCCTTCAGATCGAGCCCCGCCCCAGGCCCCGCCCCCAGCGCGGTCTTCGGCTCCAGCTCCTACACCGCCTCTTCTCGAGGCCCCGCCCCACCCCGCCTCTGCCACAGGCCCCACCCCTCCGTCGGCCGGGCTACTGTGCGCGTGCTCGTTCCGAGAGTCGGTTCCCTGGAGTCCCCGACTGGAAACAAACTTTCTGCAGGGCCATGTCGCGATCCTTTCTGCCACAGGCCCCACCCCTCCGTCGGCCGGGCTACTGTGCGCGTGCTCGTTCCGAGAGTCGGTTCCCTGGAGTCCCCGACTGGAAACAAACTTTCTGCAGGGCCATGTCGCGATCCTGTCAACTCCAGGAGCCAGACAGGTAAAGCCTTCCGGGCCCCTGTGGCACCCGAGCTAGTCTAGCCCGGCTTTGATGACAGCGGCGGCCGCCGAGGCCCTTTAGCTGGGACTGAGCCGGGCTCGGGCGCTCGCCCTCGGCCAGCCCTTGGATCTTTGCAGCTTTTCCTCCCAGGGGAGGCCGCTTCCCCTGGGACCTGGGTCCTGCACTTATGTAACGTCTCCGGGCCTGACCTTCAGTGATTCTGCTCTCACTCTCTGGGCTGTTCAATGAGAAAGGGATTTCGATGGCGATTATTCAAGGGCCCGCCCAACGGTGGATAGACAGCTTTGTGCACTTGTTCCCCTGCTGGTTCCTCTGGACAATTCTGGGGTCTCGCTCCCTATAGCAGTCACCCAGAGTAGGATCCATTCCCGTGAGGGGCCGGCCAGTTTCCTTTTCTGGACAGGGCTTTGTGCCCACTGAGTTTAGCGACTCTTTGGGGGGACATTTGGTCACTTTTGAAATTCACCGATGTTACCCAGCCCCGTTTAGTAAGTCTCTTGCCACACAGAAAGAGGCCAGGAAACAACAACAACAACAACAAACAGCAGACATCTACCAACAGCTGCTTACCACATGATAGGGACCCTCAGGACACTTACAGTTGTCACTCACTGAGTGTCGGCCTCGCTATGTGAGCTGATCATTTGCCCTCCATAAATGTGGGGCGTGTCACAGATGAGAACCGGAAGGACAAGCCACTGCAGTCCACTTTGTGAAACACCCTGGCTGACAGAAACTTCTGGTAGACGTGACACAGGCTTTGTACAGAATCATGAGTAAAAACCAAGGTGTTCATTTTCTAGAGCTGCCGTGACAAGTGCCACAGACCACAACCACAGAAGTTTATTCTCTAGTGGTTTTGAAGGCTAGGTCTGAAATCAAGGTCTTGGCAGGGCTACAGTTCCCTCTGAAATCTCTAATGGACAATGCTTCCCACGCGTCCTCCTCCTGGTGGCTTCCGAGTCCCTCGGCACATGACGGCATCGCTCTAATCCCCGCCTCGGTCTCCAAGGCTTTCTTCCCACACACACATCCTTCTGTGTCCTCTCCTCTTCCCCTAAGTCATTACAGTGAGGCTCACCCTCAATCCAGGGCACTTTCGCTTCATAATCCTTAACTGATTACATCCACGGAGACCCTGTTTCTGAGTAAAGTCACTTTCTGAGCTGCTAGATGCATATGGATTCAGGCAAACACTACTCAGCCCACGAAACAAACCAGCAACAAAATACATCTGTTAAAAGACCTAAACAGATCCAAATGAAAAGAGCACACTATTCATGATTATCAATCTAAATTCTTGCCTTTTATCGGGGAATAATTCTCTACATATATCCCCTGGCCCATGGCCTCAGCAGCACCATCACTGGGGTGTTAGATAAAGTGCCAGTTTTCAGGCCTCACTCCAAAGTTCCTGTGTCACTTGCAGGAATCAGCCCAGCCGTCTGCTGTGAACAGCTCTCCAGTGGCTATTTGGGTCTGGGAACCACTATTACAAGACCTAAGTGTTTGGTAACAGGACGTAAAGACCAGGTTAAGAAAAAGTGGGCTAATCGTGGGACTTTTTCATCAAACCTGTCTTGGCTGGATACAGTTAGGGATTTCAAAGTTCAGTGAGGGATTTGAACTGTTTCACTCTTGAAAAAAAAAGCAGATTACCATATTTTAAATTTAAAATTAGGTATGAGGTATGATAGAAATAGGGTTAATATTTAAATTTTTTAACAATGTTATAGTAAAAGATGTATTGCTATTAATCCTCAAAATCCTTCTCCTTGCTTGAGACACACTTGACCCATCATTCTTGTCACTTTTTGAAGCAGTTCTTGAAGTCCTCTTTCCTGAGTGACTGTAGTTGTGCTATTGTAGCTATCTTAAGTAAATTGAATCAGTTCAAAACATTTACCTTTTGTGGTCATTTTGGCTTTGGGGGAAGTTGGCAGTTTTGCTGAGTAAGATGGATGAGGATACACTATAACGTATAACCTACCATTCTTTTGGATGACACCCAGTGGCAGCATTCACTGTTTTTTTGTTTTCTGTTTTCTGTTTTTTGGTACCAGGGATCAAACTCGGGCCCTTGCACTTGCAAGGCAGGCACTGGAACCACTGAGCTAAGTCCCCAGCCCCTTTCACTGTATTTTTTATCATGCTTGGGAAAGATACTCATGAAAGTGGACTTCCAGAGCTGCTTCAGAAGGTGACAGGGATGACGGGATAAATACAGTTGAAGAGAGGGTATGTTGAGGGGGTGTCTCAGTTAACTTGCTTTTTTCATTGCTGAGACAAAATACCTGACACCCAAAGTTAAAGGCAGAAAGGTTTATTTTGGCTCACAGGGCATAGAGGTTTCAGTTCATAGTTGGCTGGCTCCAAGGCAGGGTGGCCCGGCAGAGGGGCATCGCAGAGGAGAGACAGTTCATGGAGGGCAGAAGGCAGCACAGTAGTGGAGAAGCAGCAAGTGACAACAGCAGCCCCCTTTCTGTCCCTTGTATTCTATCCAGGTACACACCCTGAGGGCGGGTAGCACTCACACCCAGGGTGCGCCTTCCCATTATCCACACCCAGAATCATGCCAAACCCATCAGTGGACTAATTAAGTAATCACACACCCTTGATTCCAGCATCACACACTTAATCTCAGCATCACATGCCCTCGATCCAGCCACCTCTGAAAAGCCCCATCTGTGAGCACATGAGGCTTTGAGGGGACATTTATAAATAAGCCATAACAGGAGGATTAATGGTAATGTATCTTTCACTGTAATGATTTCTTAAATTTAAACATTCACTGCATATTTTGATCACACCACGTAGTAAACTGTGTGTTTAGTTGTTCTGAGTCCCATTCAAGAGGTTCACAGCCACACAACTGAAGACCTGTTATTTCTACCAAGCTATTGACAAATATGCTGATGCTCTGAAGTGGCGAACCCCAAAATACAGAAAAAGTGGAAATACAGCTGGAACTAGGAGCTTTTTGCCATAACTCTGGTTACTGAAATGTTTGCTTTGTTTCCATTTAGAAACAATTTGATAGATGACGCAAAGGCCCGCTTGAAAAAGCTTGATGTTGGTGCCAAATATTCTTACTTGTCAAGTCACAAGTACTCAGTCCTTGTACCGCTGGTGGCCAGAGAAGGAAAACTCCATCTGCTCTTCACCATCCGCTCTGAGAAGGTGAGTAAGGAGGTTCTTGCCACTATCTCTCAGGGCGGCTGAAAACCCCATGACCTTTTCGTGGTTCGCATACGGTTTGAGACCACAGTTCTCAAATAGACTTTCCAAACTGCGGTGCTGGAGGGGTTCAAGAAGCCACAGGATGACACGGCATCTTTTGGAGAAGTTTCAGAATGAAGATAAGGAATTTAACTTACTGGTAATTTAAAATATTTTTAAACCAGGGTCACTTAACCTTGGTGCTATGACATTTTAGGCTGGGTGACCCTTTGTTGTAAAGCTGTTCTGTGCACAATGGGATGTTTAGTCTGAGCCTTCCCATCTATGCACCAGACAGCAGTAGTGCACACACACGCACACACACACACACTCGTGTGACAGCCACAAATGTCTGCAGATACTGCCTGCTGTCCTGGTAGGAAGAGCGCAGGGTAAAATTTCTGCCTCAGGAATAATGTGAAACTACAAGTGAATAGACCAAGCCCCGAAGCCTGCTGCCTGTGTTAAATGCAGCCTCTCTTCTTGCTGGCTGTGTGACCCTGTCCTAGTTCTGTAGCTTCTCTGTGCTTCAGTCTCCACTTGTAAAATGAGGACAATGTATAGTAGCTGATTCATAGGGCTGCTGTGGGGAGTTCCTAAGGGGACAAAGTAAAATACCTAGAACAGCCCTGGCATTTGGCATGGATCTAGAGATGTCTTCGTGAGGATCAAGTGGCACGAAGTTTTAAGGCAAGCGACTCTACTTTAACACAATATCCGGTGAGGAATGGAGTTTCTGGGTTATACTTACACCCCTGGGTGCCGTCCCCTCCCTTGCCGTCGGGGATTCTCCTGAGGAAGAGCTGGGGAAGAGATAATTTCATTCATCCAAGTCCAAAAAGAAAAGGGGCTGGGCATGATGGCACAAGTCTGTGATCCCAACACCCTGGGAGGCTGAAGGGGTAAGATCGAAAATTAGAACACAGCCTGGGCAGTTTAGCCACTCAGCAAGACCTTATGTCAAAATAAAAACTAAATACATAAAAATAGGTCTGGGGATGCAGCTCAGAGTGAAAGCCCTGTGTTTAATTCTCAGTACAAAAAAAAAAAAAAAAGAAAGGAAGGGAGAAAAGGAAGGAGGGAGGAAGAGGAAGGGAAAGGAAAGGAGGGAAAGGATGGAAGAGACTATAATTACACGGTGTTTTACGTAGAATAATGGAAAGTTGTCTCGTTAGGAAAAACAGTGGAGGAAGCAGCTGGGCTTGGGAGTGGCCTCAGATGGATTCTTTTTTCTGTGGGCCAGGTTGACACCAGCGCCCAGGGTGGAGGAAACCCAGGTTCCCAAGTGGCCACAACTGGGAACCAGGGACCCAGGGTCCCAGCCCAGCCCATAGCACAGGCAAAGCACGGAACAGTTTGTGATTCTCCAGACAAACAGCAATTCAGGAAATATAGGTAGCTCCAGACCCTCAAGCAAGGGGTCTCTGATGTCCTGTTTCACCCAGAGTGACTTTGCCTGCGAGAGAGAGAGAGAGAGAGAGAGAGAGATAGAGAGAGAGGGAGAGAGAGAATGCTACTTAAATCTGACTGAGCCCTGGCCGTGGGGCCCAAACACACCCTCTGGAGCTTTTCTGGAGCCACCACCAAGCAACCCAAGCTCCTCAGAGATTTCCTCCTCAGGGAAGTGAAGGGGTGGTGGGTCACCAGCCCACCCTACTCGGATTTGTGCTCCCCCACTTTTTATTTGGTTGTTTTAAGACAGTCTTCTGTGTAGTCCCCTTGAACTTTCTGTGTAGGCTCAAACTTGTCATCCTCCTGCCTCAGCCTCCAGAGGATTCCAGGTGTTCTCCACCACACCCAGCTGGGAGCAAAATTCATATCGGGTGGGATCTCATCTCCAAAATGGGTCTAAGCCCTGCTCCAGGTGTGGGGAGCCTAGGAGAGTAGAGAACTGCACGGGCACAGAGCCAGCGGCCAACACTCTGGTGCCAGCTGTTCCCTTGCTCTGCATGTCTGCCTTGCCCAGGTCCACCTTTTGTAAAGCACCCAGCAGAGAGCCAGCAACCCCTTCCCGCTGCACACCTGGACCCAGACTGCTGACTCTCAGGGACACCCTCCCTCTCTGGCTTTCAGGAGTCCTTTGTTGCTTCTCTGCTGCTGAAGTCTCCCCCGTGCCTACACCTTCCTGTCTCTTCTCCCCTTTCCTGCCCTCCTGGCTCCTTCCCCTCTGCTCTGATCTCCCAAGATAGACAAAGGCAAATTGAAGAGCGAAACACAAATTGAAGCCTAAGGAATTTAGACCACAGCCTTGGTCAGCTTCTGAGAAGTTCAGAAGGTTTAGTGAATGGTGTCAAGGCGTGCATCTGAAGTTGCGGCCCTCTGAGAGGCTGAGGCAGGAGGGTGGCAAGTGCAAGTCCACGCTGGGCAACTTAGTGATTTAGCAAGACCTTGTCTTAAAATAAAAAATTAAAAAAGGAAGAGCTGGGGATGTAGCTCAATGGAAAGGCCGTGGGTTCAATCTCTAATTATGTACAGAAGAAAAAAAATGACAGCTTCTATACTTAGAGTCTTTTTTACATTGACAGTTTGTGAAGATTCAGATTTAGTAAGGCATCTTTTTTACCGAAACAGTGTAACATTTCCTTAAGGGTAGCATTTTCCTGAATCCACAGTGGCCTTTATTACCTGTTAATTGGAATAGGTGTAAGCTGGCTGGACTCAGTAGGTAGCCGTGGCTGGCCTCAAACTCACAGCAATCCTCCTGTCTCAGCCTCCCAAGTGCTGGGATTACAGGCATGCACAACCATGCCCAGCTTTCAACATACATTTTAAATCAGATCCATGTATATATAAAACCCAAGCTAAAAAATGGAGATGCTATAGCTCGATCGTATTTGCTGTGTATTCACCATGATGTTGGTGTGATAATGGACTTTAGGAGAGACTGTTACAAATTTTAATTTGGGTAACAGCATCATTTTATCAGTGCAAATGGTGTAAATATTGTAATATAAAGCTTCACCTTTGCTTTTCGAATGGTAATTGATTTTGTAGTAGCCCATTTTACCACTGCCTTGCAGCTGAATGGGCTAACGATAAAATATTTTTTTATAGGTGACATTAACAGCAAGTCTGTTACTTTCTTTCTCTTTCTTTTTCTTTTCTTTTTTTTTTTTTTTTTTTTTTTTTTTTTTTTTTTCTTCTTCTCAGTACTGGGGATTAGACTCAAGGATTTGCACTGAACTACAGCCCCAGAACCACCACCACCCTTCTTTAAATTTTGAGACAAAGTCTCACTAAGCTCTGTAAATTGCCCCATCTGGGCTCAAACTTGCAATCCTCCAACCTCCTTATAGGCATGTGCCACAGTGCCCAAGTAGTAGTTTACTTCTTATTTATTCTGAGAAACACATTTGTCATGGGTGAAGTGTTCACGACCTAGAAACATACCCATCAGCCTTCCATGCCCCGCTCTCTCAACACCACCCATATGAGGATTTATCTATAGTAGCAACTCCTGCATACTCCTGACTTATTATCAGAGAAGAACTTTAAGTTTTGGGTTTTTTTTTGTTTGTTTGTTTGTTTGTTTGTTTTGAATCAGGGTCTCACTATGTAGTTGAGACTGTCCTGGAACTCACTATGTAGCCCAGGCTGGTCTCGAACTCACAGTGATCCTCCTGCCTCAGCCTCCCAAGTGCTGGGATTACAGGTGTTTAAAAAAAAAAAAAAAAAAAAAAAAAAAAACCAAGGCTAGGTGTGTAGAGCACTTTCCCAGCATACATGAGGCCCTGGGTTAATCCCCAGTATCATAAAGACAGAACAGAACAAAAAACAGAACCCACTTTGTCCAAGTGGGTGTTTAACTCTACAATGCTGAAAAAAAAAAATGACATTATCTTAGTGTTTTCAAGCTGCTGTAACAGAATAACTTAGACTGGGTGGATTATAAATAACAAATGTATTTCTCATAGTTCTGAAGGCTGATAAGTCCAGAACTAAGCCATCCAGGGACTGGGTGTCTCCTGAAGACTTCCTTCCCCATTCACAGATGGCCATTTTTCACTGTGTCCTTACAGGATGGAAGGGATGGCCCGACTCTTAGTCCTTTTTATTAGGGCACTGATGAGGGTTCTGCCCATGACCTAGTCAACCCCTGTTGTGGCTTGTGTCTAGATGTCACCCCAAAGCAGTGTGCACTCATAGGTGGGGCATTTTGGAGCTGGCTGGATCTAGGTGGTATGATTTGGGGATTAAGGGTATATGGTGCTAAATTAGTCTATTGATTGGTTTAGCATAGTTCTGGGAGTAGATAATGGCACCATCCAAAAGGCTTGTACCCTGAAAGGGAGGCTTGACTTGCTGCCTCGCTGCTTTGTTGCTTCCTGTATGCTCTGCCAGGGACTGCTTCCCCTCTGCCGTGCCATCTGCCTTGGAGCTCACCGACTCTGGACTGAAACCTCAACAAACTGTGAGCCAAGATAAACCTATCCTCCTTTAACTTGTGCGTGTCAGGTATTTTGTCTCAGAAACCAGGAAAATAACTAAGACAGCCCCCAAGGACTCTACCTCTTAAAATCATCACCTTGCGGGGGGACGGATTTCAACATACACATTTTGGGCATACACAGTGCAAGATCCAGGAGTCTTGCTGAGCCAGTGTCTCCTTGACAGTTCAGTGGAAAGGACACTGGGCACTGCCCAGAGCTGGGAACAAAAGAAATCAGGGTCAGTTTGCTGAGAAGATAGGTGCTGCAGAAGAAAGATGAATGGAGGGATTGTGCTTTTTTATATCTGCTCAGGATGGGAGGAAAGAGAAATCACTGTAGAGATGGAGATGAGAGAGGAAGAAATATTTAGGGCTTTCCTAATGTTCTCCTAAAGTCAGGAAACAATGGACCAAGGATATGGGTAGAAAAGAGAAAGCCATGTGATTTTGTTTGTAGAAATACATGGAGATGCTGACAGTGGTCCATGCTAAGGGCATCAGTGACCATAGCTTTGTGGTTTAGTATACTCTTAATAAATATATGGTGTGCAGGTTAGGAATGCGAGTTTCAGAAGCAAACCCTGACAGTCCAACTCATTGTGTGACCTTTATGAGGCTGTTTAACCTATTTGAGCCCTAGTTCCCTTGTCTGAAAATAGAAATAATAACAGCATAATAGTAGCTGTGTGTCTATCTGTGAACAGATGGGTAGACAAAGTATGATACACGTAAACACTGGTGTGCTCTTCGCCCATTAAAAACATGAAGTGCCAAAGCACCGAGCTATGTGAGAGATGCAGGAGGTCACAAGTCATGCCTGTGATTCCATTTACAGTATGTGAAATGTCCAAGTTACAGAAATGTATAGAATCAGAAAGGAGGGGTGGTGGGGGTGCCGATGATCGACCCTTCGGGGATACCAGGTATCCTTTTGGGGTGATGGAATTTTCTGGAAATAGCAGGGGTGTTCGTACAACATTGTGAATGTATGAAATGTCACTGAATTATTCACTTTAAAATGGTTAGTGACATATGAGTTGCATCTCATGAAATATTTTTAAAAAGAGTAGATTATAGGTCGGTTCTGAGGACTCAGGAAAAGAAATCCTTATGAAGCACCATTCCCAGACATGGTAGCACTCAATAAAGTGCTCAACAAAATGACCCATTCAAAATATTACCAGTTATATTATCCTTTATTTTACCTTTTTTAATCCCCATCAAAGTCAATTTGTTGGTGAATGTATAGAATCTCCTGGAGCCACACAGAGAAAAACTGGGAGTAGGGGAAATTCTCAAAGCTTACTCTTAAAAAATGAATCGGGGAAAAAGTTTTTCATCTCTTAAAAATGTTTGCAATGCTGAGGCTTGAACCCAGGGCCTTGCACATGCTAGGCAAGCACTCTACTGTTGAACTACATCCTCAGCCCTCTTTTAAAATTTTATTTTGAAACAGGATCTCTGTAGGTTGCCCAGGCTGTAACCAAGCTTGTGATGCTACTGTCTCAGCCCCCTGAGTAGCTGGCGTTACAGGTGTGCTACTCTGCCCTCCCCCAATTATGTCCTGTTTATCCCTTGATACTACCAGGGTCGGGGCGGTCTCTGGCACCCACATGCAGTGCAGTAAGTATTTGTTGAATGAATAAATGGCTCAAAATTTGTAATCATGATTGCTCTGTTCTCTCAATGCCCAGCTAAGAAGGGGACCTGGAGAAGTGTGCTTCCCTGGAGGGAAGAGGGAACGCACAGACGTGGATGATGTAGCCACCGCTCTCCGGGAAGCCCAGGAGGAAGTGGGGCTGCACCCCCATCAGGTGGAGGTCGTCTGTCGCCTGGTGCCATGTCTGTTTGAAGTAAGGTTTCCATGGACCCCCCGACCCAGAGCAATGAGTGCCTATGCTATTTTAGGATTCCATATTTCTCCAAACACATAAAGCCAAGAAACTGGCTCCTGTCACTCATGAGCTCAGTGGTCATGGGCAAAGCCCTCTTTCAGCATATTTAATTCAGAAATAAAAGGGTTGTACTATGTCATTGAGTTTCAAACGAGGTACTGTGGAGCCCTAAGGGTGCTAATGATTTATTTCACTAACTTCCAGTTTACATTTACTTTTCTCCTCTGTATATTTATTTTGAGGATTCAGGTGAAAAAGAGAACAACACATATCCCAGTGCATTACCCCCTTGCAGGGAGCCAATGCATTACCTGTACCCCAGTGATACTTACTTTTGCCCAGAATAAAGCTGCCTCATATCACGGTAACTAAGCAGTACCCTGAGATCACTAGACAAGCTGTTTAAAAGCTGTTACTATCATAACTGCATCCCTGTGTGAATCAGGAGTTCCTTTCTAGTATAAACTGAAACAGCATCCACACAGCCCACAGGAATTCAGCAGCTGATTTTGCCAGACCTTCATTTACCCACCACCACGACTTCATTGTTTTACCAATGGGCATTAAAAAGAGTCAAGGATGTAAGTTTTACCTTGGATAACAGCAAGATGTTATTGATATAAATCTTGGAATGGGAACCTTTAATCACAGGGTTACAATAGTTTAGATTCACAGAAAATTGAAAAGACAGAACAGAGAGTCCTTGTGTACCCTGTGTCCAGGGTCCCAGTGTGATGTTTTGCATCACTATGGTACATTTGTGACAACTAAGAAACTAACGTTAGTGCACTATTATTAAGGAGAATTTAGACTTCACTGTCTCATACTAGCGTTTCTAATAACGTCTTCTTTTCTGTCTGGATCTTATTTATCACACTTGGTTGTCACTCCCCTTCATCCTCTTGTCTGTGACAGTTGCCTGGACTTCCCTTATTCTCATGTTGTTGAAAGTTTTGAGGTGCACTGGTCAGGTATGTTGTAGACTGTCACTCAGTTTGGCGTTGTGTGATAATTCTGTCTCGGTCAAACTCCACACACAGAAGAGAGGTGCCTTCCTCACATAATAACAGGTAGGTATCAACTGTCTTTTACATTTGATATATTGGGCTTTTTGATAAATTTTTAATCTCAAAAGACTACTCCTATTGGTACTTAACAGTAGAAAACCAATGGCTTACTTTGTCTTCCATTTGCTTAAGTCTCGGTGGTACAGGGTAGTTATTATATAGGTGTCTCCCCAAAGCTCGTATACTCATAAGTAGGGCTTCTGGCAGGCGATTAGATTGTAGATGTGTGATACTCATCAGTGGGATGGTCCACTTTAGAGTTCATAGGTAAACGTGATGTTGGGAGGAGAATCCTGGTTGGAGGAGGTGTCAGTGGAGGGCATAGCCTGGAAGAATGATCTCCCTTCCTCCTTCCTCAAGCCCAGCTCTCTTTGCAACTACCCTGCCTCAGCATTCCCCTCTGCTGTGCTACCCTGCCTTGCCGCCAGCCAACTATGGACTGAGCCCTCTGCAGACTATGAGCTGAAATAAACCTTCCTTCCTTGGAATTGTGTGTGTCAGGTATTGTGGCTCAGCAATGAGAAAGTAACTGACACCATTGTGGAGATCAATGATGCTGAGACAACTGTGTTAATTGAGCCCAGTTGAAAATATAAAGGTCAGCACTCAGGAGATTTAGTTTAAAAGAATCCTGTGGCCGCTCCATAAATGTTTACTGTGTGTGCGGGGGGGGGGGGGGGGGGGGGGGATTAGACCAAACATGTCAAGTACTTCCTTTCCCTTTGTATCCTAATGGCAGCTCTTTTCAGTTGATTTTTGCACATCCTTCAGTACATTTTAGGGGTTTATCTTGGAACTTTATGACACTGAGATGTAATAGTTAAAAGTTCCCAGGATGTGACTACCTCCATTCCCAAGGTTCGCAGGAGCTACTGAGTTCTTCTGCATGTAAGTGGGTGGAATACAGCAGTATTCACAGGCGATGTCGGCTTTCCCTGACTATAAAAAACCCTGAGAGAATCAGCTCAGAGGAGGAAAGGTTTATTTTGGCTCTCAGTTTTGGAGGTTTCCGTCCATGGTCCATTGGCCATGTTGCTTTGGGGCCACATTGTGAGGCAGCACATCATGGTAGGATGTGCAGTGGATCAGGCTGCTTTTGTTGGGAAAATAGGGAAGCAGAGACAGGAAGAGTAGAAAAGACTGAGTTCTCACCATCCCCTTCAAGGGCACAACCCAGTGATCTCACTTCCTCCCATTAGGCCCCACCTCTTAAAGGTTCCAAAACCTCCCAGTAGCACAACCAGCTGTGGACAAAAGCCTTTAATACATGGGCCTTTAAGGGACATTTCAGATCCAAACTGTAGCACAAGATAATATTGAGTCTTCACGAGATTTCTATGGACCAGACGTTCCTGGGGGGGAGATTTATAAAATGATATTATCATGACATTAGAATGAACAAAGGTTCTAAGGAGGACATACAGTCCTTAAAAATGCTAGGGGAGGTTTTTTGTTTCATGACCCTTGCTAGTCGTTAACGTGTATTACCAGAAACACCATTCACTGATCACTAACACAAATAATCTAATTCAGTGCTGCTTGACCTAGAGTGAATTTATGCTCCATGGAACATTTGGTGATGTCTGGGGATGTTTGGGGGTGTCACAGTGGGGGGAGGTGCTGTTGACTCTTCCCTCACCTGGTACATGAACCCTTCTGGACCAGCTGTGGCTCCGCTTGCCCCACCCTGGGGAACTTTGTGACCTCAGACTGTTTACCCCATGCCAGGCCTGGCACAAGGACTTTGGGTGACTTACAACCTCAGATTTGCTGCCCTAAAAGTATCTGCTGTCTCTGTTCCCAGTGTCCTTTCCCATTGCACATACTGACTTTACCACTAACCCATTTAAAACCCAGAACAGTCTCTGTTCTGAAGGTCACCTTAGCAGAGCTGGCCTTCCTCTGAAAACATCCTGTAGGCACGGTCAAGCTCTTCTGGGTCTGCACCTCACAAGTACCTGCCTCTAGCTTTTCCCACCTTTCTGGGGAGACGGTGGGCAGAAACTCCACATTTATTTCATTGGAGGTTGCTCCCCCTCTGAGCTTTTGCACCTGGATTCAGTCAGCCCAGGCTCTCTCTGGAGAGTCCCAGTAGACAAAGGGGTCTGTTATCTAACCGGAACCCAAGTCATTTGCAAGTATCTGTGATTGTAAATGGAAATTCACCCTTATAAACATGGATTGTTATGAAAAATAGCTTATATGAAGTTATATGTATATAAGGCATCTAATTTTGCATATATATATATTTATATAATTTTCCCATAAGTAGTATTATGCTATACCTATGTCACCTTGCTCTTTGTAAGAAGCACATCATTCCGAAGAGGCAAAGGTATCTATTGGATTTTTTAAAGGCTGCATGGTATTCCAATATACAGTTGTAACCATAATTTGTCTAACCTAAATATCTACCAGTTGGACAGTGACTGGTTTATTTTGGGACTGCTGCAAATAATGCTTTTACCCTATTCAAGTAGCTTTTCCTGCTGGGAAGAGTTTATGATACAAACACACTCATACAAATGCCGATTCCAGCACAAAAAGATGATATTTTTGCAATATTACCACATAGATACTCCAAATGGTCATGCCAGTTTATGTCACAACAGATTATCATTCTCAGAGGTATCTCGGAAATGCCACCTCCTGTGGAACAGACACTGCCCTGTTACCTGGGAAGTACAAGTTTGCCCTGGAATTAAATTCTTCTCCCTTCACTCCCCACCTTCTGTAATGGACCTTCAGTTCGGTTTAACATTTTATCTTACAGAGAACTAACAAGATGTTAAGACTTGAAACAACTCCTCCGTGCTTCTGAATTTGTGTATTTTGTTTTCTGTTTTTTAGAAAAAAAAGTTGGTCACTCCAGTGGTGGCTTTTATAGACCCCAACTTTCAGGCCCAGCCGAATCCTGATGAAGTGAAAGATGTGTTCCTTGTGCCTCTGGACTATTTTCTGTATCCACATGTCTACTACCCTCATCATGTCACACAAGCTGGCCATTCTTTTGTCATGCACTGCTTCGAGTACACATGTCCTGAAGGTGGCATGACTTATTTCATCAGGGGACTAACTGCGCTATTTGCTGTAGTGGTTGCCTTGATTATTCTGGAACAGAAACCTACCTTTGAGGTGGAATATAATCTCAATGACCTAATATCATCTTGTGAAAAACAGCTGCTTCTTTGCCATGCTACAAGCAAGTTATGATTTATGAGGACAAAATCCCAAACTCCATCTAGGAGGATTCTGTACATGGTTATTCACTTAACAACAACAGTTACTGCTATCGGAATTTGACAGGTGTGAGTATTTTTCCTGCAATTTGAAAGTAAAAACCTTGTTTTCCAGTTGCCTTCTATCATTTGAAAGAACAACAAAGGAAGAAAAATATACTGGTAGTGTTGTTTTATTTCACCCACGATATGTTAATATTTTTCATACATGTTTAAGAAAAAAGTACCTGGCACATAATAGGCACTTAATAAATGCTTATGATACATTATGACCATGTGGTATTTATTTTGTTTGTCAGTTGTTCTGTGTGATAGAAGCTTCTAGCCAGCCATCCAAACCTACCCTGCATGGCAGTAGGACCCTTGACATTAAATGGGCTTCTGGGATTTGGTTTTGGCCAATGTGGTACAGATTAAGTTGGCCTCTTCAATTTAAGAGGTGAGCCACCTTCCTTGGCATCCAAGTCTTTCCAAGTCTTTCCTAGTCTTTCCATTGGCTACACCATGCATTTGTCTGCAACTGGTCTGGGCCATCTGGATGAAGACAATTCCTGGGGGAATGGCAGGACCAAAAGAAGGTCAGAGCTTGGATCTCTGAATGACTTCATGGAGCAAAGCAGTCCTCCAACCTCAGCTGCTCTTTGGAATGTGTTACAGGAGGGAAGAGTACATTTCTGCTGTCTCTGCCCCTGTAACGTAGAGTACCTTTGTTGCAATGTTGCAGTTACCCTAAATAGTATATCATGACACTTGAAAATAGCTAGATGGCAATTCATCCAGGCTTGAGATGTTGCAGACAGTTAGAATCTGGCATCTCAGCTTTGGCTCTTACGTGTAGGTTCTGTGATACAGACAGGATGCCCTTGCCAGGTGATAGATCTATCACTTCTAATGTAAGCATCTCCATAGAGTTAGCAGGATTGCTTTGTTTAATTATGATGTTAACTGTGCCACAGTCGGGCAGGCCAGTGAAAAAAGCAACAGAACTACATCTCTGTGATGTCAATTTCACAACTTACTGTTACTAGATTTTAAGAAAGCCAAGAGATCGCTTAAGAAGACTTTGCTATAGCTGAACATGTGATGCCAATATGAAACCCATCAAACTGCCCTGTATGTGACCATTGCTGCAGAGACTTTATCCTCTGGATTTGAGCAGAGGCAAATACCCGATCTGCTGCTTTAAAGCCATAAATGTTTAAACAGCACAAATCTGGCTCCAACCATGAAAACAGATGTTGAATAAGCGTCCTCATCAGCATTCTGTAACTAGCTCTGCGCGAGCAGACCTAAACCGTTTCTGAACAATTACAGAAGCATTTACAAATGTGTATTTACAATCTGACAGCGATATAATTGCTGGGTAGATGGCTGACCCCTCTGTCCGTGGAGAAAGTGGTCCTTCTGGACAACATGCTTGTTTATGTGAATGGCACAGACTTGCCTGGTTTCTGAGAGGAGCTGGCCCAGCCGAAGTCTACAATCTGAGTGACACTCGTGAATACCCAGTTTAGGGTGCAGGATACTCGATGATGGAGGTATCACCCCTCCCTTCCTTTTAGTAGTATGATTTATGATATCTATGTTCAGGGCTCTAATTAAACATTAAATCTGGATCAAATAAAAGAGGACGTTATGGGCAAGGTACAGATCTCAGGGACTCTACCAAACTGCTGACTAAATCAGCCTCAGGAAAGACAGCAGTGAGGAGCATTGCAGCTAACTACCTCCAAACCAAGAGCCTGTGAACCTGCTCATTTCCACCCTGCCACTACGGTAACAAAAACCATCAGAACTGATTGATAGGACGGAAAAGCAGCAGTCTCATCAGTCTTTGGAGAAGGCTGCATCAGGCCTAACTTAGGCCACTGGCAAACTTCCAGTAATTTGCAGTTATATTCAAGAGTAAAGGTCAGTGGGGCGGGTCTGACAACTCACATTCTTATTCTCAAGTTCCCCGCTTTGCAAGTGAGTTCTCCCAGCCAGACAGATCAGCTCTGTCTTGTCAGCAGCCTCAGTGTAGCATTGGTAACAAAGTGGTTAAGAGCCCTGCATCTGAAACCAGGATGCTGAGGTGTGACTGGTAGCTCCAGCATCATCCCCTTGGTGACCTCAAGCAAGGCGTCCATTCTTGTAGCCCTCAGTTTCCCCTTCTTTGACACGGAGAGATAAACTTCCTGTCTTAGGGCTTCTCATAAGATGAAACGAGTTGATGCATGAAATTCTCCTACCTTAAGCCCTCCAAGCTCCTCAGGACAATACCTGGAAAATGGCAAATGCTCAAGTTTCCTGTTAGCTCTTAATTATGGCAGTAGTTTAACTATAACATCATATCCCGATGGGAATAATAAGCAGTGCTATTTCCCATGTTCAAAGCTTCCTCAGTTTCCTCTCCTGCAGTTCACACAGCCCTTTGTATCTCAGTAATCTTTAAAAGCACATATAAATCAAACAAGACACCTACAATTTTGTTTATGACATAGTCAGGACTGAACAACTGAATAGGATTCATATCCTGCTAACATGGTAGCCACCTGAAAAATACTGTTCATTTCAATCTTAACCACCATCGCTCACTAATGGAGTAAATAAAAGATTCAAATAAATACAGTCATATGAAAGGGAGAAGCCCCAAAGATAGGGAAGACACCAACTCGGATCTGGGACTCAGGGACAGCTCCAAGTGGAGGTAGTGACTTGAGAGGATGGGTAAGGAGATGCTGCTTAGGTGAGTGGGACCATTGCATTGTTGGTGGGGACTACATTTATTCAGTGTCTGCCAAATGCCCAGTTATTCATTTGATTATTTCATTTAACTCTCACACCTGTTCTCTGCAGTGAGCACTGTTATGATTCCTATTTTTATATAGGAAAACCAGCAGGTCAGATATTGTCCACAAATATCTGAGTAGACACTTGGTTTAGGACGATGGATACTTAGTGATGGAGGTGTTAGCTCCTCCTTTCCCTTTAGCAATATGTTTTATGACAATATTTGTGACCACACAGTGTGTAAATGGCAGAGCCAACATCCAAACCCAACTCTAAGCTGTCACAAAGCCCTTCCTTTACCACTACACCCACTTACCTCAAGATGAGGCAAGAATGGAAGGTTGAATCTACATTTCTCTCCAATTGCCATGTGTGGAAGCAATGTAGTTAATAAAGCAGAGGGAGCACAGAGTTTATTTTTGCCTTAATCACGTCCTTTAGCTTATTTGGATGGCAGTGCACATGGTGAAATGAATAATTAGCTAGGATGATTTTAATAGAATGAAACATACCAATTAATGAATGAAAGTGCTGGCATACTTGCTAATTTAACAACCCATCCATGGTCCCAGATTTCCAGTTACAGAACTAAGGTAGGAAAATATTCCTCCACTGCTCAAACAGAGTGGTTAAGTGTAATTCCAGGTGTTTTTCTTAATTGCCGATTGGTTTCTTGAGAAAAATCCCTGAAGTGATCATTGCCCAGTGCAGTTGATTTGCTGTGGCAAACTCGGGGCCCCTATTGGCATCTATGTGTATATCCAGTCCAGAACTCCTGATTGGCCCCCAATCCACATGGAGTGCCCTCTCTGTGCCACCCCACTGTCCACCATGGCTCAGACGTCACAGGCCAGTCTACAGAGTCACACTTTTTCAACCCCCCCCTTAGTTTATAGCACAGACTCTACTTTATTGCACTACTTTGCATATCTGCATAATACATGTGTCAGACCTTTGTACTAATTTCACCCTGACCCTGGAACAGATCCACACACCCTGAGACAACCAAGTCTAACTTCTAGCCCCAGGTGAATAGGCTAAGGATCAACAGCCAACCCAAAGACAGCTCCTAAGTTGGTGTCTAGTAATCTGTGAGCCGTTTGATCTGGCTTCGCTAATGAACCTACATCTATCAGCTTTTCCAAAGACTCTGAACTATGCCAGAAGATAGTACATGCTCGGCAAATATTTTAGAGTTAGCCCAAGAAATTAAAAGTTAGCCAATAATTGGTAGAAATACGTCTTAGCTCAAAGCACTACTTGTCACGTCAGTAATTTACCAGACACAACTGCCAAGAGAAGAAATATCTAAGGCAACTTGAAGATCTTTTTCTAAGGTTTCAAGTCTATAAATTTTTGTAAGTGTAGAGTTGAATTGATATTTCCTTGACTATAAGTTTCCTCCTTTTTCATTTTACATATTCAAACTTTTATTCCCTACTTGATCGTGGCTGTCACTGGCATTTCTATGTTGTTTTTCTTTTCACTTATTATCAGTGTGAAACTTTAAATTCTCCTGATTATTTTCTTCTACTAACTTAATTCATGTGCATTTCTTTACTCTGGGCTCATTTTCTTTCCTTCTACCAGCCTTGCATCTTTTGTAAATCTTGTCCATTTGATGGACCCCTCAAAGCATATTCTGAAAAGTTGCCTTTATTTTTTTCTTTCTGGATATAAATCTGTATGGCCTAAAATCCAACTAATCATTTAGTCTATCATTTAGTAATTATGTAATTTAGTAATCATTTAGTAATTTAGTAATCATGGAAGCTTCCTTCTAGAACTCCTAACCTATTGCCAACAAAGATCAATCCATCTGAGCAAACTGAGTAACAGCCCCCAAACAATACATCGAAATCCTAACCTCAGTACTTGTGACCTTGTTTGGAAACAGGGTCTTGCAGATGTAGTTAAAAATCTTCAGATGAGAGCATCCTGGATAGAAAGTGGGCTCTGAATTCAGCAGCCGACATCTTTACAAATGAAAGGAGAGAGAGATTTGAGACAGAGACACTTGGGAGGCCATGTGAAGACTCGGGCAGCAATGACAGTGGCGCAGCACAAACCAAGCAACAACAGGACCCACCCGAAGCTGGAGAGGCAAGGAAGGAGGGACCCCGTCCCTGGAGCACCTGGAGGAAGTGCAGCTCTACCTGCACCCTAATTACTGACTTCTGGCCTCCAGAACAGTGAGGCAATAAATTCTTGTTGTTTTAAGCCACTGAGTTTGTGTCAAATTGTTAGGACAGCCTTAGAAAAGATCACAGCTCCTCCAAAACAGCTCTCCCTCTGGAGAAATAGCTTCCTCTGTGTCTTGGGGTTAGCATGGACCCAGGTCAGTGCTGCCTGATGCTCTATCCCTTTTCCTTCCTCTCTCTCTGCTCACTCCTGCTACCACAGTGACTCTCATCCCTTTGGAAGAAGGGTAGTATATGCATCTCATGCCTACTAGGACTCATTTT